GGCCCACACATACCTTACACCAGATAACTAAATACATCACAACCTCTAGCAGTTGGTATGATAGGAGAGCCCCAACATGGGTACCATGATCCCGGAAAGGAGCTCCAAGGGAGAGGGGGGGGGGTGTGAGATGTGTGTGAACAAATATTACTAAGGCCTCAGCATGGTGGAAACCAGGCACCATACCATCCACAATACCTCAGGTGGAGAATACGCATCTGAGTGCAGTCGAGTCGAAATGCGGGGAACGGACGAAAAAGAAAAAAGACAGCAAAACCGAAACACACAGGCAACAAGCAACAAGGCAACACATAGGCTGGAGGGCATGGGAGAGGAGGGAGGGCACACAACACACCAGCAGAAAAAGCAGGGAAAAGACCACCACAAGCAAGCAAAGGAAAAAAAATAAAAAAGTAAAAACAATTCCTGGAAAAAGAAAAAAGCCAAAAGAAAGAGACTGATGATAGATTGTTTTGTCGGAGTTGAGTTGCACTGACTCATCAGGAGGATGAACCCTCGACAATCTGCGGAATCTCCGTATTCATGGTTTGGAACTTTGGGTCATGAACCCTTTGATCCATGTTGAAGGCGGACTGTCCACAAGCTGAACACAGCAGCAGGGAAACAACTCAGCAAAGCACCAGGGAACGCTGAAGGAGCAACCCGACTGCGGCGACTGGACAACACGAAAAAGGACTGCAAGGACTGGCACAGCACGCTGACGAGCAGCACGGCAACCACGCAGTGAAGTACAAGCATGGCAGCCAACGTGACACCCGCGGCCTGGCAATTCGGCCCCCGCGGCCGAGAAAGTGGGCCGCAGCCGTGGTCAATGAGGCCTACCCCGCGGCTGGGGTTTTTGGTTTTTTTTTTGGTCCTAAAATAAGAGGAAAGAAAAAGGGGTTTGTAGGGTTTGCAAAACCCTGCAAGGCTGCAACCCCATTATTTTGTTTTCGAATCTGACTTGATTTACGATTTAAAAAAATGAAATTGGTTAAAAACAAAAAACGGGCCAGGCTGGGGTGGGTGTGGTCTGGGTGGTGGGGGACCACCACCCGCAGGGAGCATGAGCAACACAATTTGCGTTGCCGTATCACATAAATGAGTCGTTTCTGTGATACAGCAACACGATTTGTGTTCTCATGTTGATGACAACGAGAGAGAGAGAGAGAGAGAGAGAGAGAGAGAGAGAGAGAGAGAGAGAGAGAGAGCTGCCATCAGTGCCATGTGGCAGCTCGTTAGAAACGGCAGCTTGGCAGCCCGACAGTAAAGACACACACACACACATGTCGCCCCAAAGAAACCCTAGCTAAACACGGTTCAAAATGGTTCTATTATGATTCGTGCTGCCTGTTAAAGAAAAAAAAAATTTAAGTGTTGGGCGGACTCAGTCCGGTTCTACTCATCTGTTTGGAATAGGGGTTGTTGTGGGGGAAGCTTATAACACACACACACACACACACACACACACACACACACACACACACACCATAGTTGCGGCGCACGTGTGCGGTGCGCTGTGTGCTGGTTTAGCAGGGTGCGCACTGTGCGCTGTGCTGTGCGCGCGCTGCGGCCTGTGCGCCATGTGCGCGGGAATAATAATAAAAAAAAAGCCGAACCCCCTTTTCCCCCGTCCCCAGCAGCCATACCCACATGGGGAAGGAGAGACGAAGGAAGAGCGGTGGGGGAGGAGGTGTGTGTGTGTGTGTGTGTGTGTGTGTGTGTGTGTGTGTGTGTG